GTTACCAGTGATAATTAGCACATTCTGATTTCATGTTCAATCAATTTCAGACTGCAGAAGTTGATAAAAATCTTCAATTTCCTCATCTTTGACTTTGGTGGTTGGTGCATAAATTTGAATAATAGTTGTATTAATGGGTCTTCCTTGTAGGCATATAGCTATTATCCTATCACTGACAGCATTGTACTTCAGATCTTGAAATATCCTTTGTGATGAAGAAGGCCATGCCATTCCTCTTTAAACTCTCCTTACTGGCATAGTAGATCATATTATTGTCTGATTCAAAATGGTCAAAATCAGTCCATTTCAGCTCACTAATGCCTAGGATACTGCCTCGGAAACCCAAGGAGGGGTCGCTACGAGTCGGGGCCGACTCGACAGCAAATAACAACAACAACAACAATGCCTAGGATATCCATAGAGATACTTCCTCAGAAACCCAAAGCTATAGGTCACTATGAGTTAGGACTGACTAGATGGCAGTCAGATTTGTTTGATGTTCTGGTCACCTAGTGCTGCTATGACAAGAATATACCACAAATGGGATGGCTGAACAAATAGGAGTTTATTCTCTTACAGTTTGGGAGGTTAGAAGTCTGAGTTCAAAGTTCCAGGCTCCAGGGGCTATGTGAAAGCTCCTTGACCTTGGGCTTCAGCTCTTCCTCTTGCTCCTGGCCCACTGAAGCTAGGGACATCTCTTCACTCAGTCAGCCACTGGCTGCTGAGGCTGACAAGCCCAAAGTCAACAAATAAAATGACAGAGTCCCGATGATACCAAACCACATGTCAGGCCATTAATTCAAGTCCAATGAATACTCCAAGGTTGGCAGAGCATGGTAGGTTGCTGAACAACTACATGGCTACATGCAGGATTCACATGTGCCATAAGCTAAAGACCATTCCCAAAGTTGTTTCTTATATATGGGAAGCAGACTACATCCCTAAAGCAGCTACTCAGATACTCCAATACTTTCCACCATGGAGTTAATTACCAAACTTACCATAGGGAATAACTACATCCAGCTGCCCAGCCACTCACCAGGCCTAGCCAAGTTGGCCCACAAACATAACTACCACAGTTCATTTGGTTCCAAACATTGGAAGAAAAGCATTTAATACAGGGTAAGCACAAAGAAAATTAATAAGTTTTCTAACCAAAATAAGAAAGAAGAAAATTGCAAGGACTTAGTAAACACAAAATCAACAATAATGAAGTAAAAGGAAATACATGTGGAAAATAAAATGAATTCAGCACAGAAAAATATTTGGAACAAAGAAATCATCAGCATCATAACAAAAATCACAAAAGAATGACAGCAGTAAATTCATACTTATCATTAATTACACAAAATAAGAATGGATTAAATGCACCAGTCAAGAGAAAGAAAGTAGCAGATTGGATAAGAAACCACGAACCATCAATATGCTGCCTACAAGAGACTTACTTTACACACAAAGATAAAAATAAATTAAAAATCAAAGGATGGAAAGAAATTATATCAAGTTAGTGGCAAATAAAAAAGAGCAGGAGTAGAAATATTAATTCTTTATTAGACTCCAAGGCAAAATCCAGTGTAAGGGACAAGAAAGAATATGATAATACAAATATGATAATACAAATGTAAATTGTCAAAGATGACACAACTATAATAATCATCTATGCACCCAATGAACAAGTGCAAAAACACATTAAAGAAAATTAACCTACTTGAAAGGAGAAATAGAAAATTCTACAATAGTAGTAGGAGACTTTAACACACCACTTTCAATGAAGGACAGAACAACTAGAACAAAACTCAACAACAACATAGAAGATCTCAAGAACACAACCAACCAACTTGACCTCATAAACAAATGGAGAACACTCCACCCAACAAAAACACAACACACATTTCTTTCCAGCCCACATGGATCATTCTTCAGAATAGACCTTATGTAAGGTGACAAAACAAGCCTCAAAAAAGTTTAAAAAAAAATGGAAATACTGCAAAGCAACTTCTTGGATCACAGAAGTCTAAAATTAGAAATCAAAATAATAGGAAGACTAGGGGAACAAAATCAAACACATGGAAACTGAATAACACATTGCTCTAGAACCACTGGTTAATAGAAGAAATAACGTGTGAAATTAAAAAAAAATAATAATCCTAGGTGCAAATGGGAATGGAAACACATTATACCAAAGCTTTTGGGAAATGGCAAAAGCAGT